ATAGAAATTGAGCAGATATATGTATAAAAAGGCAAGTTATGGAATTGGTAGGCTCATGAAAGAACACCTATATGAAGATGGTGCAATGATTTGGTAAATACGATCATGTCTCCTTTAGATGGTCAGTGTGGAGACTAAAATAAACCCATGTGAAATAATTTTCAGGGTGAATGATAAGTTTTTGTTTTAATAGCAAAGAGCCTTTAGACAGCTACAATATGCCCTTATTACATTAGGGTAGAATGGTATTTTTTTCCCTTAGAGTGATGAATACCTTTATAGAAATGTTTTCTTTTTTTTTTTTTTTAATGGAAGACAATGTCTTCCTCTTCATAATGGAAATTTTTTTCAAGTCTTCTGGTAAGTTGGCCCCTCAGTATACAAGTTTTAGAAAATCCTAGTTATTCTTACAGGCTTGTAATTTTCTGGATGGCTTCTTATGTTTGACATGGCTTCCTGCAGAATAAAACTGACAGAGCAGTGGGAATCATCCACTACTCCTATGAAGAAAATGTGTCAAAGTCTTACTCCTGATAGGAACCATCTTCTAATTTCAGATTTAATTGCTCTCCTACATCATCTCCTTCTTTCGGGAGCCCAGATGGCAGAAGAGTAGGAAATCTCTTGATTCAATGATCTTAAAGGTCTTTTCCAAACCAAATGATTCTATGAAATAAGTGGAAAAGTCTCTTGAAGGCTTATTCCAACATGTTGGCAGCAGTCAAAACTATTCCTGCCTGTTCTGCCTCTGTCCTGCCATGATCTGTAGGACCCGATCTCGTTTCTCAAAAGTGAGGTTGGCTTCGAAAGAAGGTGGCTGCTTTCTCTTGCCACTCGCAAGACTTGTTATTTCTCCTGGTGGCTGCGTGCTATTATCTGTCATGTGTTTTGAGGAGCATGGTAGCTTCCCAGAGCCAGTAGCATTTCTGGCTCTTGACCTCTGTATGCATACGAACTTCTGCTACGTGTCCATGGATAAACAAGCTCCTTTCCAGTAAGCCAGAATGTCAGTTATGGGGGTAATCATTATAATTGGGCCAAGGTCAAAATTACAAGTGTTGTTATCCTAATTAACAGAGGAAGGTTTTATATAGCTCCACCTTGTACATGGTAGAAAACTCTAAAGATTAAACGGTTTACAGCAAGAAGAGCAGAATGATTCTTAAATCAGATTAATAACTGGATCAGAAGCGTTAAGGTCAACTCCAAGAATTGAAAACAACATTTAGAGTAAAGCTTCTATGCTGTGTGTACTCTGGCATTAGTGATTCCTAAGTGTCATGTGGGTCAGGAAAAACACAAAGTCTGGATTCAAACGTGTGAGTCTTCCTTTCCAGCCAGTTCCAGAAATGGCTTATCTGGACTAGAGGTGCAGCAGTGTCCTACAATGGTATAGTTGTTCCTCACTTTTTCTATGGTGAAACCAACATCCTTTGCCTTTCTTTCCTATTTGGAGCATGCGGCATGACTACTGAGGTACATTTAGAGCAATAAACCCAAGCTGGTTATAAAATAAATGGTGACCTAGCCATTTACTACTGTGCAGTGGCTGTGTGCATATTCCCTTCCTGCAGCCTCTAGTGAGCACGTCGCAGAGCAACCTGACTAGCAAATTGATTAGGACTTCTCTTGCAAACCTTTCAGCTTGCTCTCAATAGGTTTAAGAAATACGTGAAACATTTTAATTAGGGAAAATAGTTCAGTAGTGGGGGGAAATACATTTAGTGAGGGTGGGGGGTTTTTGTATGATTTGACAAACCGGTAATATCTCAATCTCAAGACACAGCAATTCAAGGGACATCGCCACATAAAAACTTAGTTTAAAAAAAAAGTTTAATTCAACTTTAAGATTTCTAAAGCCTACAATTAAAACCTCCATGAGTTTCTGAAAACCCATTTTTCTGTCAGAAGCTATGTTATACTAACCATTTCAATTTTCAGAACACTTAAAATTAAGTAAATAAATGAAGAAGACCATCCTAGCATTACTGCCTAACCTCAGAAGAATATTTAAAGGAAAGAATGAACCATGGGCAGTGATAGTCTCTCTAACTTTCCAAATTAAATTGTTAATTAAAGTTCAGTACTATTAATAACATAAGTATAATTAGGCACTGCTTAGTTAGTTAGCTATGCTGTTTTTAACTGGAAAATGCTCCTTTTTAACTGCAATGTGGACAGTAGATGTGAGGATGAGTATTGTTGGAAAAATACAATGTCCAAAGTCACACTAGTATTGAGAAAAGAGAGAAGAAAAGAACTATCTTTTCTGCTACAGATATTTTCATGAGGAGAATAAATACCATTCTAGTTGAAAAAAAGTTTTGGGTGATGATGTTCATATTGAGTGAGAAGAGCTGGGGATATTTCAGCTTTTTTCTGTAAGAGGAAGGAGAGGCAATACTGAAGATTTTAGTAAGCTAAATATGAGTAATATAGGTAACATAAGTAAATATGTAATGCAGTAAATAAAAGTACAAGATCAAAGTAGCAAAGGGAGATCAGTGATCGTATATTAGCAGTCTTGTTTGTTTTGGTTATAGGTACATCCATCTAAGGATGTTGGTACAGGCAGCCGTGAAGAAAATGAGAAGACTTTTCCCTGTAACTTTTTCTGGAGAAGTGACACCCAGCAGGAAGCAATGGTCAGAGGCTAGCAGGGGACAAAGGCTGATTGAAGGTAGTTTGCATACACCAGACTATGGATAGATTGGGGTGGAAATAGCAGCACATTAGTGACAGCAGATAAAACAATGTTTAAAGAAGAAAGAATCAGAGAAGGTTGTCCATGAGATATCATTATTTATGGAAGAAAAATTGAATATCTCTAGAAGCAATAAGATGAAGGAAGAAGGACTAGTTTCTAAGAGGAATGTAATCTTAAACTTCACTGTACTTGACATAAAATGAATCAAATCCTTTCCATCCAGTAGAGTCTTTCTAATGCATTCCTCACTCAAAAACTATAAGCTAAGTTATGTCTTAGAATAGCTTTATCCAAGGTTATGGTGGTGATCTGTCTTGATTAAAAATTTCAAAAAGCTAGTGTAGTCATTAATGTATGAATGGTGTAAATTTTATGTTTATTGGTAGTATAATTGGAGTGTTTGCTCAAACATATGCACTGTGTATGTCCCAAACAGAAGTCTGTGCAAAATCAGGAATCCTAGAGGGGAGACATGATTTATTTCATATTTTGAAAAAAAACCCAGAAAATTAATTTTAAGTACTCCTAAGCCAGAGAAAGAAAGTCTGTGCAAAGTAATTTTAACCTAAGGGCAAAATAAAAAGCAAAACAAAGGATCTTACTTTTTCTCTTAATTAAAGTAATTAAATTCAGACCAACAGTGTTTATGGTGCAGTAAGTACAAAACTTAGACCAGTGGCTAAAGAAGTGCATGAAGCCTTTATAAAGCCCTATCATCACCAAAGTCCTACATTAAGGATAAAAGTAGTTTCTTCTCCCATTTTTAGACTTCTGCTTAGGGTGTGTTTCACACAAAAACCACACAGTCTCATTTAAAACCTCTCTTTTATTACTAAATAGGTTTGCTTAGAAACAGCATCTTTTCCCTTAGAGTGCAGAGGTAAAGCTTTTAACACATTGATAAACGTTCTCTTGTACTTTGTACAGTGCTGCAGTTAAGAAGAAGGTAAAGGTTTTGGCTTTTAAAAGAAGGTGTGTAACCAGAACTGTAATTTGCATTTGCAAATCCACGTGATTTTTACTGTTAAATTAAACCCAACAGCTTGTTTAAGTCGTCAGGGAGTGGTAGAGCTGAACAGAGGTGTAGCAGGTATTGCAGCTGAATTACAGGAGCTCTAAGCCACCCTTAAGGGAGACACACAGCAGGGAGGACCACTCACTGCAGAAAACTGTCAGCAAAATCTCATAGAAAACAGGCAAGTCTGGAAATACTAGTGCTAGTTGGACAAGAAATAGATGACAAGTTCTATGAGTATCTGCAAGAGATGTGTGTAAAATTTGTCACTACATGTGTATACAGGTATATTTTGAATAAGGGGATTGTAATTCCTTAGTTCTCGCATAACTAGAACTTTGCTCTTGTGGTTATAATGCCATCTGAAATTCTGAAGCATTGTATCCCTTTTTATGTACCTTTGCTTCTTTCTTAAAGCATATAAACCCTTCTTACAAACTTCATCTTGCTGTTTTTTATGCATTCTTAGACTTTTCAATTTTGTATATGAAAAGCTAAAACTTCTGTGTGGCTGTTGGTCAATGGAAGATCCTGTGTTACACTGCAAAGTGTAACCTGACCTTTAATACCTTCCCAAAAAGGAAATGCTAAGTGTCACACCCACAGACATCCAGGGCAGAGAGTAGAACAGATCCTGATGGGACTATGCGCAAAAGATGCGCACGCAATTCCTTGCCTTGAGGCATCCTCTCCAATGCCGTGGGTCCTCTCTGGGCTGGACTTTGTAGGTGGGCAGAGGAGGAGAAGGCTACTGGGCCTGCAGCTGGCACAGGAACTACTCCAGACTTGTTTTTTTTTAAAGAGGCCATTGGGAAATACAGGAACACCCCCTCTGGTCCGCAAGGGATTTTGCAGACTAGGCCACTTGCTGTGCAATGAAATTTGAATTTATTATGCTTTTTGTAAAAATAATAGTTTTCAATCACACATAACCCACTGCAGAAGAGACACTTTCTTAAGTATGGAAAGCAGTTGAAGGCCTGGAGACAACCTGAAGTTAAAAAATGTCTATTTTTAAAAAGTATGTTTTTGAAGAAAATAAACCTTCCCTCAGCCCATCGTTTAAGTGATTTATTCAGTCTTTATGTAGACTAGAATTTTAGACAGTACGTAATCCATCTGCTTACAGAGAAAGTTGTCATTCATTCGCCACCTGACAAAGAGAGCTACGCCGCGGCTTAACTACAGGTTCTGGCGCTGTCTGAGGGAAGGGGCAGCAGTTTGTATTATTTCAATTTTTGTAGTCCTTGGTTCTGTGTTTGCAAAGCTGTTTTAAATTCACTGCTAAGAGTCTGCCCAGCCACGTGAGCAACTATGTAGATGCTTAGTGTGGTGCAGGTCTTACTGATATCTTGCAGCAATGAGTTCCACAGGTTTTCACAGCCTACTGTTTGGAAAAATATCTTTTATTATTATTAGGTTTATGAATTTTCCATTTCAGTGGAGGCCCCTTTTCTCCTCAGATGAGGTAGGGTGAATAGTTCCTGACGTACGTTTTCCCCCTGCCATTTATTATTTTGTATACTTTGATCATGCTCATTCTTATTCACTTTTTTCTGTAAACATTCCCAATCCTTTCGATCTCTTTATCATTCTTACCACACATCTCTTTCTGATGTATCTTTCTTAGATGGGCTAACCAGTAATGAACAAAGTACTCCAGATGAGGTCAAATTATTGATGTACATAACAGGTAAAATCCTGGTCCTGTTGAAGTTGCTGGGAATTCACTAACATCTAAGGACTGAGGTTTCTCCTAGTGCTGTCACATTTCCTACGTTATTCTTCCTCCCATTTTTCATATATTTAACTTCAAAATTTGGCAGCTGAGACTTTAATCTAGAATCCTACATACACAGCATCCTCCATTAAATTGCTGTTAGTCCTCAGATTAGCAGTGTAGCTCTGTGCACAGGATTAGTTCCCTCCCCAGAATACTTTGATGAAAAGAGTCAAATTTGTCCTGATTCACATTTGTTACGGAACCACTCTTGATGTTAGCTTTGAATAGCTGAAACTGAGGGCAGCTCAGACTTTGAAACAATGCTGTGTGTTTACAGTGACCTTTAGCTGCAAAATCTGCTAAAATACATTATTTAGTATATGAAAGCAAACAAACAAAATTTTTGCCTTGGTAAATGACTGTCCATAATGTACTATGAATATGAGGCAAAACAAGTCAGAGCTTTTTTACAGCATCTGCAAAAGAAATCTGTTAACTTCTGTTTCCGCCCCAGAAACATTCAAGAAATGTTCAGATTGTTGCTGGCTAATAAATACAGTAAATGAAATGTTAATAAATCACCAGCAATTTAGCCTGACAATAACATGGATTGACTACATTGATTAAATTGATTATGTTTCATATATTTACAATATGTAGACACAAGCCTAATTTATTTTCTGAAGAGTTCAAGGTAGGTATCACTGGTTTAAAAAAAAAAAAAGGCAAACCAAAACAATGGAGTAATGTTTGTGGTTGCTATCTGCAATAATCTAATGCTGACAGAGAGCAGTATTTTATTTAGTAATTAACAGTGTAAAGGGGAGAGAAGCTGTCATGTTGGTTCTTAAGCTGGGGAATGTGATGAAAGATGATATCTGCGATCTCATCCTTTCCACTTGTTTAGGATTGTCAGGATGAGAAATGTCAGCATTATGAAAGCTCAGCTCTGCTCTTGATATGATAAAACCCTTCAAAAGCCAGTCTTTCTATCCCTCTCCCCCCTCCTTTCTCCCTCTCCCTCTCGCACTTGCTTTTTTTATTTATCCTGTTTTGTTAGATGGCAGAAATATAATTCTTTTCTTTCTTCCTATTATAAGCCACCATTTTTGTTTTATTATATGTTTCACAACCCCTAATGCCCCACTGAAAATTACCTTGTTAAATGACAGTGTTTCAAAGCCATGAATCCTTTCCACCATTCCCTCAGAGGTTTGAAACAGTCAACAGACTGTAAAGAATAAATAATAAAAAAGTATTGATTATTTTGATGACTGTGAGATTCAATTAAGTATTAATTTTGCCCTCCAGTGGACCTATCAAGGTATTCAAAAGGGAGGATTCAGCTCAGCTAAATGCGTGCTGAGTGCTTCAGCCTTAAATAGGGAGAAAATGTGTTTACCTACAGTATTTGAAGAGGAGTGCATTGATGCACAGAGTCCAATATTTAAGTGCTGTGCAAATTAAGCCCTGGTGACAGTGACATTGTTTTCAGCAATATGAGTATTGACTAAAGAAGTGCATTTGATGACAGCTTAAACTATTTGTATTGATTAACATTTTCATAGATTATCATGTGTCATATCAAATTCACTTTTCAGACATGAATACATTAAAAAACCCATAGGCAAACATCGACCAATGTGAGGACGGGACAGAGGGAACATGCTAACCAACCTACTTGCTTGCTGGTCACCTGTTCTCTGCATAAGAACCATTTAGGCATGAACTTTGCAATAAATAGCTGCCAGAAAGCGCAACAAGGTCACTTGTTCCTCTCCTTTTTTTTAGTTTGGTTTTTTTTTTTTTTTAACTCTGTTTTCCGTGCTGTTATGATATTATGCCTATTAGTTTGAAAACGGAGTAATAGAGTGCGCTTGGAAATAATGCCTGACCCCCAAATGTCCTCATTGAGCAGAAGATAAAACAGATCCAAATCATCAAGAAAAAAAATTAAATGTGTATATATATATGTGTAATGTTTTACGGGGGATATAATGTCGCAAACACAAGAATAATTGCAAACTGTTTGTGTAAGTATCTTCCGTAATTTTATCTTTTAAAAAATGGTTTCTGTTTTTTATTTTCAAAAGAAAAATGTGTGTTTATGTGTGTTTATGGACTTTGGGAGCATAGTATCCCAAAGACAGGAATAGTTAGAGGAAATCTGTCTCTCTTGAATGTGTGTAATGAAAAAGCTATTTGCTGCTGTGTATTTTCATAGAAATGCCGGAATGCTAGAAACTGTGTATTTGATTTTATTAATGTTGTACAGCTGAGGATGCCTCTTTAAATCACTACGGAGCGCTCGCAGGGTGCTCTTCTTCCGTGGCGTTGGAGCATACAGGAATTTCTTTTCTTACTACGTTAAGGATAGGGTGAGGTGTAAAAACATACACACACAAAAAAAGCACATCCCACAATTAAAGCTGTGTTGGTTATGTTGCTCTCATAGAAGTTTTTCTCCAAAGCATCCTGAATCTCTCACATGCTAGTTGAGCTTTAATAGGGTGGGGAGTAATGGAAAACTCATTGGATCTGTAATAGCTCTTCACTTGACTGCAGCCAGCAATAACAGCAGGAGCAGCCAGAGATAAGAGAGAGAGAGAGAGAGAGAGTGTGTGTGTGTATGTGTGTGTGTGAGAGAGAGGGAGTGGAAGAGAGAGTATACGCACACCAAAGCTGCCACTTTTTTTTTCCCCTCACTCTTTTTTTCCCCCCCCATCCTAGGATCCAATGATAGCTGGACAAGTCAGTAAGCCCTTGCTGTCACTGCGGAGTGAAATGAATGCAGAGTTGAGAGGTGAGGACAAGGCAGCTACTTCAGACAACGAGCTGAATGAGCCCCTGCTTGCGCCTGTGGAATCAAATGACAGCGAGGACACTCCCAGCAAGCTCTTCGGTAAGTCTGTCTAGGTATTTCATTTCACTGCTACCATGTTGTCCGGAAGAGCAATCTCCCTCCGTTCTTTTTTTCTTTTTTTTTTTTTTTTTTTTTTTTATGTTCGCTCAATTTTCTTGTAAGTACGAAGGAGTAGCTTAGAGCATGCAGCCCTCTGCTCCCATTGCAACTGGTTAACAGAATGACAGTGTCAGTCCTGAAAACTTTTGTCAACAATGAACTTATTTTATGCAAGTTGCAGACATTTTATGCTTTCTTTTGATCCCTGGTCTCTAATGTAAAAGAAATAGAGGGGGATCATTTTCTGAAGTAGTTTGTTAACATTTATTGCGTTAGGTGCTGATGTGTCTCATATGCTACCAGCTTTTTCTAAGGCTGGATTAAACTGAAAAGTTATCATTTTATATGGTACAGATAAAGCTGACTGAACAGAGCTTGAAACATTCCCATAGAAAACACTCTGTACTGAGTAAACAAAGGCTACCAAGGGTACTGCGCATGGAGCTAATGTTTTGGGAATTTAAATTAGAAATGAAATATTTCTCCTAAAGCCTGTGCAAAGAGAAATTACCTTTTGAATTTCTATTTATCTTTAAATAGTCTAGATAGTGCCAGATAAGTGTAACCTTTCACAGTCAAAACAATAGCAGCAAGAGTGGCACTCCAACACAGACATCTGTCATTCAAACGGATGACACCCTGTAAGCCAACTCAAGCAACTCTGATCTCTAATCAGAAAAGGGAGCAGAGTTGTTGAGGCGCGTGCTTGAGTGATAGATGTTGATAGATGTCTGAGCTGGAGCAGCACTATATGGTACACAGTGACATTTTGGGTTTAGAGGGACTGCTCTCCTGAAGGAGTTCCTTTTAATTATTTCCATTTGTGACATGAGACGAATGTTAATAGAAACAGAGCATTTCCTTATTTTACATGATCCTATGGGTGGAAGTTGAAGGGAAAAATATCTTGTTTAAAGGGAATGCAGCTTTGAGAGAGAGAACGAGAGCCCATTTTCTAAGATTCAAGTTTTGATTTCATAATCTGCAAGGAAATCTGTAGCAGTGTTCAGATTTCAGTATTCCAGCTACAGTATGAGCTGGAAGATTTTTTTAAACAAAAGAATACATGCAATTTTCTTTTAAAAACATCTTTACACCTTACTAAAAGATATAGCACAAAATGTTTTAATAAACAACTTCATAGAAAGACGGGAAAATAATAATAATTTAAAAAATTCTAAATTTAATTTCTGGATTACAGTAATGACCATTACTGAATATCACATCCATTTTTAAGCACCCTTTTAGTAATCTTTGTTTCCATGGAAAGCATAATTTCCATTAGCAGTTTGAATGTTCAAAAAGCATATAATAATTGTTTTAGTCCATTTCATCCAGGAAAGAATTGTAATGTCTAAAATTCAGAGGGCTGTTAGTTGTCTAGAGAAGTATAAATATCTTCAGCTGTGTTTATGTATTTTATTTGCTCAAATGTTTAGAGTGCATCTATTAAATATAGCAAAGCATATAGAAAACAAAGAGCAGACTTTTAATTTGAGGGTAGTGAAATGTCTGTTTGTTTAGTTTTAGATCTGCGAAGTCTTGTAATGAAAGGCAGGATATTTTTTGAGCCATTGTTATTTGGATGCTCTACAGTGATAGTGAAATATACACAGACACTTTCATTAGAGTTGCCGTGTGGGATATAGAAAAGATGTGCAACAATATCTTGTTTCCTTCTGAAATATAATTTATGTCCCTAAAAGCAGCAATGAAAAAGCTACAAATTAATATATTGTGCTGTTTCTGTTGGTGAGTGTAAGATGTTTGCTAGCTTGATCCTTATACTGCTAAAAAGACGTTCCCAAGTAAAAAAAAGTAGGTGAAATAGTTCAACTATCTGTGTATAAACTTATGTGCCATTTATCGAGGTTCTGTTACAATTACAACAGATGCTGCAGATGTTTTAGCAGCAGCCCTTGTCAGTTAATTTTAGTAACTTTGAGAACATAAAAGAAGGGACAATGGGGCTATTTTGATACACTTAAGAATCAAACTGAGCAAATTTAAAATAAACGTGATTAGCCTTTATGTCCCAGATGCATCCCTTAAGATAGATTTGCAGTAAGCATTTAAAATAATTAAGTGTAGTTTTGTTTAAAGCTCTGATACATAAATGTGGAGCATTATTCCGTAGCTGTTTCTCTTTGTTTAATGTTATGAATAGCGTGTTAGGAATGTATATTTTGGGCCTTTCTTTGCAGTCTCTGAAATTAAATTATTGGTGGACTTACTGACATGTGATAGCATAGAGATTGACAATTTTCTCCTCCAACTTTCTTTCATGTGATCAGAGATAATAATTTTCTTTTTACAATATAACATTTAATACATGCTGTGTGAAAATTTGCCCAAAATCTGTTAAGCAGGAGAGGGAGGAGCGTTTTAGAAAGTAAAGGGGAGGAGACAGGTCCATAGAGAACAAAGTTTTTCTACACTGCTACTTTCAGATTTTTTGAAAAAAATTGTGAAAATCATGTACTGATTTAGTTGGAATGAATGACCAGCATTTGAGTGTCTTGTTGATTTTAGCAATATTTCACGAGTCTTATTTTCACATTGATGAACAGAGTTGAATGATTAGATGGGAAGAGCTTTCCTCTTTCTCACCGGACACATTCCGCTTAGCTTTTTTTGATGGATGGGTTTATTTCTGCAAGGACTTGCATTGCTCACCTGTGCCTTTTCCTAAAATCCACCTCCTTTTCAAACTTCCTTGTTTCAGTGTTTCTCTGCATACCATACAAACAGTGCGTATTTGCTCTTTGTTTTGGTAGCAGACAGCACAGCTAATCATAAAAATGGCACCTCTTCAACAACAGTCCCTGCTGCAGGTGAGGAAAGTACAGGAGTACAATTAATTATACTTATTTTTGACTTAGGAAGATACACAGCAAACTTTTGTGTCTCCTGCGTGTGCTTTGCTATCAGTGAGAAAGCAGGTGAATGCTGCAGCTCCTTGGGTCTCAGAAATACCGGCAGGAGCTGGGATAAGTTTCTGAGGATCTAAAATAACTCCCACCTGAAACTAGTGCACAGGTGTCTGGGAAGATGCACTTTGTCACTGTGGTGCAGTTGTTACCTGCGAGTGATGACAGGAGCAGCTGTGATTAGAGGGGTTGTGCTTGCTTGTTGTTGGCTTGCTTGCTTTCCTTCTTTTGGTGGTTGGTTTTTGTTGTAGTGTGTTGTTGGTTTGGTGTTGGTTTTGGCTTTTTTAAAGAAAAAGCTGTCCTGTAGTCTGGGGGTTTGCATTTGTAATCCTCCGCTTTGTGTATTTATAGCAGTGGACTTTTGTGAATCTGCATACCGGTGTGCAAAAGACTTTTGATACTGAAATCATGTGAAACAAGAAGGGAGTAAAAAACATGGTGAATAATACTTTCTGAAGTGCAAAATGTTGGTTAAGGACTCTATCCTGACACACATTAGCTTAGAATTACAGTTCTGAAGTGTGGATTTAGCACAGCTACAGTGTTTCTGTTACAGAAATCCCAGTTTTCCTGAGCAGTATGAGGCGAAGTTGCTTTGCAAGAGATCTTGTGGTGTATTATTTACTCTTTAAAATATTTGTGAAGCAGTATCTTCTATTTTAATCGTATGATGTAATAAAGAAACAGAGAAACTGAGTCTGGCTGTTGACATTCCTGATGGTGTCATTTTCAGATCAACTTGTCTTACTGTGCAATATGCTTTAAAATAGTAACCCAGGCCAAATGCCACAGCTCTTACGAGACAAAGCTTTTGTTAATGCCAAGTAGTAGCTTCACTTGAATAAATACATTGGAATTTGACCCTAAGTTAATTAATCCTAGTTGCCACTTTATACAATATCTTTAAACAAGTTTAGAATAAGTTATGAAGGATTGGTCAGAAAAAATCTTAGTGAGAAAAAAACCCTTCATGTTTAGCTGTGTAATGTTACAACTATTGAGATTCAAAAGTTCGTGTAGACACCAGGGATATGCTGTGCATAAAATTCTCGATACAGTAAAAGTCCTGTGAAAGAACTGGCTGGTCCAAACACCTGTGGACTGAGGGTGGCTTTCCTGGAGTTAGATTCGGTCCTTAATTCATCCTTAATGGAAGGTAATTTGGGACATAATTAGATGATGGTAAAAAGAGAGCTGGGAATGCACTTGCATCTTAAGGTACTTTTACTGTATTTTAAAAAGTTGCTTTTTGAGATCAAGCCTGTAGTTCTATGCATCAAACTTATTGAAATAAATAAAGCTGTAAGTATATAGTGAGTGCAAGACCAAGCCTATAATTGTGGAGCACAAGTGTTTCCTATTTAATAATTGCAGGACAGCAAAAAATTGACTGCTAGCCTTTCTTTTTTTTTTTTTGGCTGGATAGTGAGTGCAAAACCCAACCCATAAATTTGGGGCACAAATGTTTTCCATTTTAAAAATTCAGGGCAGCAAAAAAATTACTGCTAGCCCTTTTTTTTTTTTTTTTTTGGCTGGCAAGGTTTTGTTCCAGTGAAATTAAATCTTAGGTTTCCTGTGCTGGATCTGAAGACTGTGGTTTCATTTGGTTCACTAGCATTTTTTTTTGCTTTTTTCATAATGCTGTGTATGCTTGAAATACGGAGCAGGGATATGCCAGTTAAATGAATCTGCACACATTTCCATAAACAAGGGTTTATTTTCAAACCCCTGCACTGGCTTTGGGTTTTTGTTTTCCTTTTCCATGCTGTTACCCATGTTTCAGAACTGCATGCATCTTTCTGTATAAGCATACACCTATATGCTGTAGCAGAACAGGGTAGAAGTTGTTTCTAGCTGATTGTGTTTTGCTCGTAGATCCCTTGTATTGCTTTTTAAGGAAACATACATTATCCAATTATTTTTTATTTTATTTTATTTTTTAAATCAGAGTTGTCTTGATTAGAATTTATGGCACTGGAGTCATTTCAGTTACAAAGGATAAAGGACTAA